ACAGGGCAGAATGCCAGCCATATCTGGGGCCTGGGGACAGCACGGAGTTCAGGAACTGGAGGGCAGTCAATGGATATCACCTTAAAGTGGGGTTACTCGGTGACACTGCTGTTGATTGGCGATCAGAGGAGCGTTTATTGGGGTGAGTCCTACCCTAGTTGGCAGCCATGGATTGGTTGGTTTGCAGGTTTGTATTCACAGAGCTGTATGGTCCCTGATCAGCCGGAGATATTTAAACACGTGGCAAGGCTCCTTGTGACCATAGCTACAGAAGAATCTGTCTTTTCCTAAGTTAGTTGGAAAGTTTGAGGAACGTTTTCACTCTTCCCCTCGTGGAGCCGTCACTCAACATGCAAGACCATTTCTAGTATGAGCATCCTGCCTCATCTGTCCGTCCTCTGTTCTGACAATGGTCTGCTCTAACTTGAAAATCACCCAAAACAACACTTCTGAGGTAAGGGTCTTCATCCCTGAGCTTCGTACCCATTATGGATGGTAATCTATCGATTATCTGTGATATTAATAGGAAAGTGCAGGCAAATGGTAGAGGAAATTAAGGAAACACATTAGATTTATGATTAACTGGTGGATTATTATTTAGCACACAACCATTTTGGAAAGATGAGAAGTCTAACATGTAAGTCCATGACCCCCAAAGAACACATATATGTGGAGAGATTAGGCTAATTGTTCACTTAGGGAAATTTTTTTTTAAATTTTCACCATAACAGTATTCATTGTTTTTGCACCACACCCAGTGCTCCATGTAATCCGTGCCCTCTCTAATACCCACCACCTGGTTCCCCCAACCTCCCATCCACCGCTGCTTCAAACCCCTCAGATTGTTTTTCAGAGTCCATAGTCTCTCATGGTTCACCTCCCCTTCCAATTTCCCCCAACTCCCTTCTCCTCTCTAACTCCCCTTGTCCTCCATGTTATTTGTTATGCTCCACAAATAAGTGAAACCATATGATAATTGACTCTCTCTGCTTGACTTATTTCACTCAGCATAATCTCTTCCAGTCCCGTCCATGTTGCTACAAAAGTTGGGTACTCATCCTTTCTGATGGAGGCATCATACTCCATAGTGTATATGGACCACATCTTCCTTATCCATTCGTCCGTTGAAGGGCATCTTGGTTCTTTCCACAGTTTGGCGACCGTGGCCATTGCTGCTATAAACATTGGGGTACAGATGGCCCTTCTTTTCACTACATCTGTATCTTTGGGGTAAATACCCAGTAGTGCAATTGCAGGGTCATAGAAAAGCTCTATTTTAATTTCTTGAGGAATCTCCACACTGTTTTCCAAAGTGGCTGCACCAACTTGCATTCCCACCAACATTGGAAGAGGATTCCCCTTTCTCCACATCCTCTCCAACACATGTTGTTTCCTGTCTTGCTAATTTTGGCCATTCTAACTGGTGTAAGGTGATATCTCAATGTGGTTTTCATTTGAATCTCCCTGATGGCTAGTGATGATGAACATTTTTCCTTGTGTCTGATAGCCATTTGTATGTCTTCATTGGAGAAGTGTCTATTCATATCTTCTGCCCATTTTTTGATATGATTGTCTGTTTTGTGTGTGTTGAATTTGAGGAGTTCTTTAGAGAAATTTCATATGCGAAGTGATGGGCATTGAGGGGCGTGTGTGCTGTGATGAGCACTGAGTGTTACATGCAGCTGGGGAGCTGCTGAACACTGAAAATAAACACATAAATAAATGATAACAGTGTTATAAAGATAATTAGGAAAAGTCTAATTTGGCTTGAATGTTCACTTTCTTTTACCTTATTACTTCTTTTTCTGTGAATCTACTAATGAGCATGTTGAGTATTTGGTAGAGTAATTCATAGAATTCAACTCTCCAGACTTGGTTAGGTGCCTGGTTGCTATCATTGATTAGTAAGGAGCAAAGATCTAAGGAGTCCCTGAGTCAGAAAGCCACAGGTGAGCCACCAAGAGACATTAGACAACTAGAAACCTAAAACCTCCCAGACAACAAAGATCCTCCTCCTAGCAGGGCCTCTGCTATCCCAGAAGCACCATTTTAAATCAGTGACCCTCTTTCTTCTGACAACTGAGTTGGTGTTGAATGCCACATCAAGAGAAGTGTCAGTGCTGATCAACATTTCACACTGAGGTCCTAGAAAATGTGCTTTTCCGAGACACATGGAGTTCTAGGACTAACCTATAAACAATTCCTGACTCCAAGCAAACCATAAAAAGAAAGTAATTAGAAAAAATATTTAACTTGAGTTTAGACTAGAACCCCAAGGGGTTCTCATGGAACATGGCAAGAATTGTTGAAACATGACACTTGAATCTTTGTTGGAAGGACCCGTGGATGTGGGCCCCCACCCTGCTGTACTAATAACTCCATGAGAAAGGAGCATGAATCTAACACCTGTGAAGGAACATTCTGCTGGAACACCCTACTGATGTGGGAGAAATCATCCTGAAGACAAACTTAGAAATACAATACCTGGAACCTGTTTGAGAACGCACTTCACTCACCAGGAGAACCGTGACATGGAGGAAAACCCTTGCAGGTCCAATGAATGTATGTTCTATTTGGGAATAGCTCTTCCTCTGTAAGAGCCTGGTAGGCTGTACCAGAAGAATGCGAGGTTTTATAGTATAATTGCCAAATAGCCTTTGAATCAGGGCTGCACGTAGGGCACTTAACCTCCCTTTACAAGGACCATGACTAAAGCCATGGGCTTCCATGAAACGGTCTTATAATAGTTAGGCTCCCTTTCCTAAGACTTATTTTTATAGAAATACTCAAATTCTACACTTAAATGTAGGTCATACACATGGACGAGCAACCACTGTGGTCCCATCCCTCAGATGAATGAAGAGCTACATCCTGACATGGCAGCCCTTTTGGATATAGGACGGGATCTGAGTGTAGGGATGGGCAGAATCTCAAGAGAGGCAGATACTCTGAGTGTCAATCACTAGGAAAGAAGATGGTTCCCCAGAATGGAAACCTTGCAACCTCTTCCACTATGCAACAGGAAACTCCTGCAAATTGAATGTGCAACTTTGGGGGTCTATCTCAGCCTTACAGAAGGTTGGCTTTACGTTGGTAGTTTTGTTGTGGAGCTCATTGTGTTTTGCAATGGAAAGTTGAGTATATAAAGGACTGAACGTGGGCTTCTGGAGTCAGTCTGCAAAGGCTAATGACCACAGGGAAGGCAGACATGGAGTCGCAATGGGAGGGGTTGTTCGGGTCCCAAGAGTGTGCCATATCTCAAAAGCCGGAATATCCGGGTGTGTGTTGCTGTGTTTATTTCTACTTTAACAAAAGTCTAGTTTTAGTGTTCTGCCTTCATATCAGCTGTGCTGTAGAGAATTAAGGGGTGGGTGCAAGGGACTCACAACCTGAGTGGCCAGTGTTACCACCAAAAAAGTGCTGAGAGGGAGGAGAATTTCTGGGGCGGGGGCGTGGTTTAACGGTCAGGACCAGAATTCTCCTTCAGTTGCCATCTTTGGAAAATGGGGGGAAATGTCTTCCCTGATGCTATTTTAGGATTGAGTTTTATTAAAAATTTGGTGGGTTTCCCTGTTTTATGCTGGAAAATGAAACTATACATTGTGTTTGCATTTCCGTAAATGAATTCCCCGCAATGCACTACCAGACATGTGACAATAATCTGAGAAAGCTTATTATCGTGCCATCTCGGGGTGAGACTGGGATGTAGAGAGACTTTCACTTCTCGTTTTATGTCTGTTGTTAAGGGGTGCAGCATGGTGCACTGTTCGTTCCAATATTGATGATCTTTTCAATTGTGCAAGAATCAGTGTTTCATTATTCAAGGAAATGATGGGAAGGCTATCGTACAAATTTAATAATTCATATATCAACTAATATCACTTTAACCATAGGATTCCTACATATGCCAGATATTTTATATGACAGACAAGACGATATCTTTTGACTCCAATTTATGGATGTAGCCATGAACTGGGTGGGTGGTTTAGGTTGACAGGAATGACCTTCTGACTTGGCTCTTCGTCTGAATGTTTGTGTGCTGCCTGAGAGAGAGCTATGTAATTCTCCTTTCCAAACGCACTGGGGTCACAGAATGCTGGTGTTGGGAAGAATAAAATCTAATATCCATGCGGTCTCACATACCAGTGAATGCTTGATTGGCCCGGAAAGCCTGCCTGGGCCGGTTAGCTTCCTAGTTTAGTAGATCTACCCGCTGTGATTTCTCCGTATTTAGGCTGTCTTTTTGCCAGATATTCCTTACTTCAATTCCCCAAAGATGGAAGTAAAAGGACTGGAATGGAGGGAAGAGCCCCTTTCCCAGAAATCCCACGTTTCTGGAGAAGGGACTGGAATGTGGACAGCCCAGTTCTGTGGAAACCTGCCCACAGGGGACCTGGGAGCACCCAACTGGGGAGAACCTAAGAGTCTGGAGTCTGTTTTCCATGAAAGTTGGGGAAAGGGAAGGACACAGAATAAGCCCCGAAGGAGATCAGTGTCCTGGTGAGTGCACTGTCCCCAACAGTCATAGGAAGCTGATACCAGAAGAAATTCTAGAAAATTCCTTCAGGGAGGATTCACATGAACACAGAAAGCTGTTAAAATTTCAGGAAATCGGGCTTTTATTGTCCAAGGGGTTGGTAAGGATTGAGCACGCTTTTGATTACTCCTGGACCTTTGTCAGTAAATTGTGTCCTGCATGACCGATCTATTTCTGTTTTCCTTGCTGAGTAGACAGCAGTAGGGAATTCGTCTTCGCCACATTTATTAGAGATGCTCCCGTTCTCCTTCCATTTCTAAGACGTAAGCACGCGCCCCAGCCCCATCCCCATGTTTCCACAGCTGAGGGTGGGCTCCACAGGCTGCCAGTTTCCCACAGCCGACTGTCAAGGACTTCCTCTTCCGATGGATGGGCAGGAGCCCAGCATCAGTGTCCGGTTCAGCTCACACACACCTGACGGGCATGAGGAGCCCTTCATGGAGGTTCTGCTGATCTTTTCCAGGCGAAGACCTCTGTGCAGCAGCCCCAGATGGTGTTCACCGTCCGCCACACCACCGTCACCTTCCAGACAGAAGGGGACACATGGAGGGAACAGAAGGAGCAGAAAGCTGCCCTGATGGTGGGCATCCTCATCGGGGTGTTTGCCCTCTGCTGGCTGCCCTTCTTCACCACGGAGCTCATCGGCCCTCTCTGCTCCTACGACATCCCCGCCGTCTGGAAGAGCATCTTCCTTTGGCTTGGCTACTCCAACTCCTTCTTCAACCCGCTCATCTACACAGCGTTCAACAAGAACTATAACAGCGCCTTCAAGAACTTCTTTTCTAGGCAACACTGAGCGTGAGGCCTGGGGAGGAAGGGGACAAGATCCTCGAACTCAGTGAAATTTCCAGCTCCATCTGCTTCCCCGTCCCTACCCATGGATCCCTTCCACATGGAAGAGGCACATCCTCCAGGCTCTCCTGGGTCATCTTCAGAACTAGCCCTCACTTCCCCACTCCTAGGTAGGAATGTGGGTCTTCACAGGCAGTTTGGGTGCCCTTTTTTTTTTCTTTTACAATTTTTAGGGGACGCCTGGGTGGCTCAGTTGGTTGGACGACTGCCTTCGGCTCAGGTCATGATCCCAGAGTCCCGGAATCGAGTCCCACATCGGGCTCCCAGCTGCTTCTCCCTCTGACCTTCTCCTTGCTCAAGCTCTCTCTCACTGTCTCTCTCTCAAATAAATAAATAAAATCTTTAAAAAAAAGAGTCTTTTACAATTTTTTAAAAAGATTTTATTTATTTATCTGACAGAGAGATCACAAGTAGACAGAGAGGCAGGCAGAGAGAGGGGGAAGCAGGCTCCCTGCTGAGCAGAGAGCCCAATGCGGGACTCAATCCCAGGACCCTGAGATCATGATCCGAGCCACCAAGATGCCCCTGGGTGACCTTCTTGATCTAACCTAATCTGTTATTGTTCACTCTGCACCTAACAGCCACAGACTTTGCCCACAAAATGCCGTTCCCCTCCCCCCAATCCACTCCAGCGTGGTCATCGTCCTGGCCCCAGAGAAGTCAAACAAGGTAAACGAGAGGAAGGAAATCAAGCAACGTGGCTAGAAAATGATGGAGAAGAAGTCAGGACGGGGACACCAGAGGGGTAGGAAACCATAATTACCAGTTTTCTGGAATAGTCCCTAACTTGAAATTTCATTCTATGGTCCTGGTAAGTATACCCTAGTACTTATTGTGTACATCCCAGTATTTGGCTACAAGATATTGTCTCTAGCCCTATTGAAGTGCATAGCCACAGCACAGCAGCTGTGAATATTGGCTTTAAGACTTTGTGGCAACCACGCACGTGTGCTCTGTGCACACGTGCACACGCGCGCACACACACACAGCTATGTAGGAGGTCAAGGTTCCGCTTGGCTAGTTTATTCTAAAATTCAACCCATCAACTTGGAAAGGAACTAAAAATCAAACACCTCTTTCCATTCTGAAGCAACTGTACAATCCACTGGTTTTGTAGAATCTGTCAAATTTGCTTATTTTCTATGGGTTTTATTTGTATGGAATTTATTCAGATGTTACAGGACAAAGACCTCTATCCTTGGATCATGGGCATCGAGGAAGTGTCATGACGTGGGTGGCTGACCTCAGCACGGCTTCACAACCGAGGACCGTGAAGGCACACTCACCAAACACGTAAATTTACAGGGACAGTTGTTAATTCTCTGTATTTTTATTGGTGTGCGAATCCGTGCTAGGAGGCCAACACTAGCAACTAGTGAGAAAGGCAGAAGCACAATAAAATGTGGCCTCTGTCCCTTATAAAACGACTCCTTTCTATAAAGGAATCAAGGCAACTAGATGATGATGCAGCATTTATAGGATTGGAGAAAACCCAGGCCGTTAGGCAAAACTTTGAAAAGCCTCGGACAATAAAACTGTGGTCTGCTACGTCTCTGATTCTTGGAATGCATGAATTTAAAATTATGTATGATAATCATCTTTGAATTATTATAATAAATATATGTATTCTTTTGTGTATCATAAATTATATCAATTGAGATTTCAAAAATAGGAAATTTGTGTTTGTTTGTATGCTTGGTTGGAAGTTTAGTCTTGCCCTTACTGCAAAGTCTTTTTCAAGAATGTGAGTGAAGGAGAAAGTGTTGTACATCTTCTGTGAGGTTGTGACTGACATTACTAAGTACAGACCTCATGTCTAGAAGAATTTACTCAGAAACATTCTCAGATTTTCTCTTCCTTCTGCATTTATCACTTCAAGTGCCAAACCCATAAATATCTCAAAATACAGATTGTTGAGTTACCTTCCCTGCTATTACCTGGAACGACAGAGGCCACCAAGTCCTATTAGACGCTGGTGTGGTAATAAGAAGGGTTTCCAGAATTCCACCAGTGCCCACAGCGGACGGAGCCATGCTCAGACACTGCAGAGAACCTGGAGATGCACCATCAGAACCAAGGGTAAAACAGTTAAAGTCTATTCTCTCTGAAAGTGCACGTGAAATTCTTTACTATATGCCGTAATTTCAATGTTTGCCTTCTTGTCTTTAAAGAAAAGGGTTATTTCCTTCAAACTTCTCAGTAAAGTGAGGCTTTCGGAAAACATGCCACATTTGTCTGGTGGCTTCAGTAACTTCTGGACCGCCCCCCCCCCCCGCGAGGATTCTACGCACCTTGTTGGACAGAGACGTCGTCATAATATCCATTTCAATCTCCTGCTGAATTATTACTATCTTGTGAGATGCATAAGGCACGGGACTGTTCGTATGTATCTCACATTTCCCAGACGTCACTGAAAATATTCCCGGTACGGAACACTCTAGAGGCGCCACCCAGAGCTGGAAACACCGTCCGCGAGAAGGACCAAGTGGCAACAAAGGAATCCTTTTGCTTCCATTTCAATGCCGAAGGCTGCTGACGACTAGGAAATGTTACAAAATGCAAATGGTGGTCGAACTAGGCGTGTCGGGGGCATTTGGTCCCTGCGACTCCGCCGGCCGCCCAGCTGACCAACAGTCTCACGCTCAGTTCTGTGCACTCGCCAGGCTGGGGTCCTCGCCCTCTCGAGCAGCCCCTGAGTGACGGGGCCAGGTCAGCTCTGAGGACTACATCCTTCGTGGGTGGCCCGTGTCTGGCCACTATGAGGTCACCCAGCCACACACCAGTGCTCTGTCCTGTCCCACCCTTTGCATTCTCAGAGCCGCACACTCTTCCTGACTCCTCTCAGGTGCAGAGACATTGTCTCTGGCCATACTGGTGTCTCTGTTGACAGGAATGAAGAGGGTCCCGACCCCCGACCCAGACGGGCACACGCTGCGGGCGGTGGCTTTCCACATGACAGTGTCTCCAGGCTCCACTGTCCAACTTCTCTGGGGGTGTCGTGGGCTGAGTCGTGACCCCCAGAATTCGTATGTGATGCCCTAACCCCCAGCCCTCAGGGCATAACCGGATGTGGAGGCGATTAAGGGAAAGTGAGGTCAGGAGGATGAGTCCCAATCCCTTGTGACCGGTGTCCCTCTAAGCAGAGAGGAGGACACAGGCACATGGAGGGACAGCCACATGAGGACATGGGGAGAGGATCTTTCCACACGCCAGGGAGCGGCCACAGGAGGGACCCACCTGCTGGTACCATGATCTCTGCCACCCGGCCCCTGCAACGGAGAAATGAATTTTGTTCGTTTAAATGGCTTGGTCTGCGGTACTTGGCTAAGTCAGCCCAGACACACTAATGCAGGATAGGGTTAGGGATAGGGTTAGGGATAGGGTATGGTTAGGGTTAGGGATAGGGTTAGGGATAGGGCTAGGGATAGAGATAGGGTTAAGGTTAGGGTTAGGGTTAGGGATAGGATTAGGGATAGGGATAGGGTTATCCTGATGGACAGGGATGGCAGACAGAGCCCCACAAGTGACCTTCCCAGCCTGCAACAGGTCAGGGTCTCCATGTTAGTGAAGGACAAGGTCCACAGGGGCGGGTGACCAGAGCATCCCGTTTTGCATCACACAGGCTGCCCGTTCCTTCTGCCCTGACCAGGCTGCCTGAGGGAGACAGAAGCCCTGTCCCGGACTAGAGAAGGTGGGCTGGAGAGCCTGGGTCTGCAGAGGGCAGGAAGGGCCGCCTCTCACTGGCCTTCCTCGTCTTCCTGCCCCTTGAGGTGTGTGGGGTACCGTGGGCTCGGAGGTGCACCTGCCACGGGTTCCGGGGAACACAGAATGCGGGACAGGCCGACCGCTGATCCCGGCGGCTCAGGCATCAGCAGGAAACCAGCCCACTGGGCAATCCATTCTTCCTCATGTCACCACACAGGGCTGCCTTTCCACGTCACCGAGAACAGCGTTTTAGAATCTTTCTCATCCTGGACGGTTTGTCTGATGAGCTGCTTTTTTCCGCTGCATTTTAGATCCCGTCTATTGTTCAAATAAGGTCAATGAGGGGAAGGATCTGGGGTCCTAACTCTCGCCGTGCCCAGGGCTGTTTCACAGGTGCAGCGGCCGAGAAGGGACTGGTGGGGCCCCGAGCCCCCTGGAGAGCAGCGGCGGCTGCCCAGCTCTTCTGTCCGTTCAGGGGTTCTAAGTGAGGCCGACAGGTGACTAGGAAAGACAAGTGGGACCCGGTTCTTAGCGTCACTGAAAACATGGTACAAAACAAGAGTTTGGGGCTGCCTTGTGCGTGTGTGTGTCAGTGTGAATGCTCGCATCAGCGTGCACCCTCGCACACGTGTGTGACTTACTGAGAATGCACAAGGCTACAAAATTATCAGCTGGTTATGGGGCCTTGGGCTCTGGGAGCTTCACCCGGTAACCCGGCGCCCGGCACAGGAGCCTCGGCCGCTGCAGCCCCGTCCCTGACTCCAGCCACTAATGTGCAGCGCTGTCTGTCTGTCCATCCGTCTGGTCGTTTGATTCTCCCCATGTGTCCCCAGCACCGCACTCTACCCAAGGCCTAGGGTTCGCTGTGCTATCTGGCAGGTTCCCCAGCTTGTTCTCACTGTCCTTCACGGTCAGGGTCGTCCCAATTTTGTCAAACACTATCTTCCAGCTGAAGCCCTACTATCCGCACGCTGAGGTCCCGATAAAACGTGGTTGGTACTTTAAACTAACGGTGCATGAAGTGAATCCGTATGGCCCTCAAGTGACTTGGGGAAGGTTGTCTTCTTTCTGACGGTGAGTCATCCTGTCCGAGAGCAGGGAACATCCTCGTTCGACTGTCACCCATTCCTTCCTTCCCACTCCTTCACCAGCCTGCCTTGGTTTGCCCCCGGCAGAGTCAGGGCCCTCACTGCCCCCGCGAGGCCATCCCCAGGACAGAGAGTTCCCACTACAGGCACACCCACCCCACCACGCAGCCTGAAGCCAAGGCCCGGGGACCTACTAATGCAACGAGGACCCCACACACCAGACATCTTCTTCCATGTGATGGGAAGACACCGGATGCCCAATAATTTCACTAGAGAACACGCACACTGTTGAGTTTCCTTCTGCTGCTATAACAAACGGTACACATTGATGGCTTGAAACCACGCAAGTTGATCATCTCACGGTTCTGGGGGT